GTGGGGCGGGGCAGGGCGGCGGCGGTGAGCGCCAGCGAGCAGAGGTTGACGGCGGCGAGCATCTGCAGCGGGCGCGGAGAGTGGCGCGCGAACAGCGCCGCCTGCCAGGAGGAGGTGAAGCTGTCGCAGGCCATGTACAGCGCCAGCAGCGCTAGCCCCGAGCCCGTGGTGGCCGCCGACACTGCACACACAAGGCGGCGTGTACCCGGCGTGTACCCGGCGAGTACCCGGCGAGGACCCGGCGTGACCGCGCAGGCGTTACCTGCGTAGTCGTCGTGGCTGCCGAACATGAAGAGCGCCATGCCGAGCGAGATGAGGAGCGCGGTGAGGTACTCGTAGGGCTCGTACTTGTTGCGCGAGATGAGCTTGCCCATCAGCATCACGGGGATCACCTTGCAGGACTTGGAGAGGACCTGCGTGGGGAAGCTGACGAACTTGAGCGCCTCGTACTGGCACCAGGCGCTGATGATGTTGGTGAGGGCGCAGTAGCAGAAGTTGTAGAGCGGCGCGACGAGCACGGGCCGGCCGCGCCACGCCAGCCGGCCCACCGCCAGCGCGAACGCCAGCAGCCGGTTCACGAACACCAGCAGCTGCGAGTCGTCGAACCGCACCAGGCTGCCGTCCGCCATCACGTAGTTCTGTCGCACAAAGTTAAACGTACTCGCAACACCGAGCTCTAAGGGATGTTGTCACCGACTATGATGCGGCAGTATTGACCTGCGTCATGATCTTCTCCTGCAGCAGCCCCCACACGAGGTAGGCGGCCATCAGCCCCCCGAAGCAGAACACGAGCTCGAGGCACTCGCGGCCCTCGGCGCGCGGGGGCTTGGCCGCCTCCGGCAGCCGCTCCCCCGGCTCACCGAAGCACGTCAGCAGCAGCCGCGACACCCACGTGTGCTTCGCTGTCGACGTACAATCGTACACGTCCATCAAATTACCAGAAAAAGTGTTCTTGTCTCAGCCTTTTATATCATCAACAGATCGCATTATTTATGTTACGAAAACCTCTAGTTTCTTATATAAAAATTATACATTTAAATCGGGTTTAATTTTTTTTTTTTGCTTTCGGTCAAAAGCTTAGGCATTGTTGATTTTGGATTGATGAAGATCGATTTTACCATTAGCTTAATTACAGTTAGACAAATTTGTTCACATCGAGCGGTGGCTTATCGCGCCTACATCAACTACCTGTGGAAATTATGGAATCGACTAGCGGCTTATCTCTGCTGATAATCATCGCATATACTAATAGCTTGTATCTTCCAACATACATACTACTGGCTCATATTTATATTATAGATTAAATCAAAACTACATATATCTTCTACAATACAAATATTTACAGATATAGTAATGGAATTGACACAATTCATCTTGTGGCCGGCTTACATTAAATTGTTAAGAAACAAACAAAATTGAAACATGAGGCCTTTGCAAGTACACATTCAGCAATATATGCATCTCTAGTATGGTAACTTAATTCATTGACTTTAATTGATGTTTATAAAAACTGACGCGATGTCATATCACTTGGCGCTCAAAACTGCCACAGTAGCTAAAATATTCCATTTAAAATAATAGCGTCCTCAATAACATGGGTTCAATAATCCCACATGTCATAGGTACAACCATTTTGTCTGTATAGCAGGTTACATGCAAGCGCAGGTTTTATTTACCTCGCTCTGTTTATTTGTTTAAATCTAGTAATTACGCTACATCCACTTCCTCATAGATTGAACTGTTCAGTTTGAGATTGTAACATATTGAAAATGTTGTTGACTGAATTTATGCTTCATAGACAACAAAGAAACTTTGCTACAAGTCAATGTGGAATGTTTATCTCATTTCATTAATTTTAATTAGCAACTGCTGTATTTAAATTTCTAATAAATCTACAAATAATTGTTTTTTTTATTTTGTTATCTCTGCTTATGTTATTCCTTGTTAAAAACTAAACACTTATAGATAGGAATGGAACATTGAAATGTAAACTTACTTATTTTGTCAAAGTATTGAGTCTTGTGCAGGTACTTGTAGAGGAGGTAGCCGGGAACCAGGATGGTGGAGTAGCCCACCAGGTTCAGCAGCAGCCGGAAACACCTACACACATCAAATCAATTGTCTATTGTAGTAAACCATTGCCTCTATCTGCGGGTTCCAACATTCAAAATCAACACTTTATAAAACATTATCCTCCCGAGTCAGTCAATTAAATATATAATAACATGTTGTAAAGAACAACATACTGACCATGAGTAGTCAGAGTCAATGAGCACTTCGGTATGCTCGTAGATGTCTAGCAGCTCCTGGTACAGATTGCTGAACACCCATGCTAGCAGCAAACAGGAGACCAGCACGCATCTGATGGTAGACAGAATCAACTTGTATGTGCCACACATCACATTCACATCCAATATCGAATGAGAATAATACAAAAATTTTATGTAAATAACTAAAAAAATAAATAAATTCTGAGTAGTTATGTAATTATTTCCTACATTGCCTTTATTCCAACAAATTTTGTGTCACTTTCTTTTTTTACTTCACAAGTGATCATTGGTTCCAAATAAATGCACTTTAAGGATTATTTAAAAACTATCTTAAACAATAAATATTAATTACTAGATTTGAAGTGATTTTCATATGTTGTGTTGTAAGGTATATTGTGTTATCACTGTGCTAATTTTATAAAAACATTAATATTGGCCTTTTTAGTTTCCGCGACTTAAAAAAATAACTTACATTCAATTTCTAATACACTATCATTGTATATACAACATTCACTCACCCAATAACTAATCTTGACCGCATTTTGTAAGATTACTTTAAAACTATAAATAAAGATCTAATAAATACTGCTTGATATGTAATTTTGATAATGTTTTATTTTATTTACTTAAAAACAAGCATTTTCCAGGCCTAATTCCGAACGATGTTATTCCCTCCCCCAACACAATCACATGTTTAACTGTCACTGTCATTGTCAAATGTCATCAATAAAGTTTTTTTTGCTTTTTTTATGTTGGGCAAAAATGAGCAAAATATGGAGCCAAGTCAAGCCAGAAATTTAAATAATATAAATAAAAAACATAAATAATAAAATATTATCGAATATGTGGTCAAAACATACCGCTGTATAATTTATTTGTTCATTATTCTGAAAACACTGGATA